ATTTTGAATTTTCATGTACTATTTTACGGTATTAAACATTGAAATACGTATTGAGAAAAGGACAGAAGAAAACGCTATCTTTTCAATATACTTTTGAATGAGAGTGATAAGTAATAATTGCCTTATCTAATTTCTTATCATGGTATTTATGCCAAGTTTGTAATGTATACACACTATCATCATATGTATACACAGTAATCATGAAAAGATAGCGTTTTCTTCTGTCCTTTTCTCAATACGTATTTCAGTGTTTAATACCGTAAAATAGTACATGAAAATTCAAAATTTTACAAACTTCAAAACGCTACAGAATATTTACTACTGAATATTAATAAGATATTTTTTTACTAAAATTTTTCTTAAATTCTACTCTACAAAATAGCTATCTTAGATTATTTTTTTTACATTTTATTTAAAATTTAAAAATAATTAATATTTTTAATAAAATGTAAAAAAATTAATTATTGAGATATAGCTATAGACCTAACGTATAACTATTATTTAAAAAAAAAATCAACTAAAAATATTAACTGGATCAAAAGTTATTTAAGTTAAATATCTTAAATTAAGCTAATGTAATATACTTTAATTTGAAAAAAAAAATTTGACCTCTGGACTTGTTTTCATGGTGAAAATAAACATCAAAGTTAATAAAAAATTACGATTTTTGTAAAAAAATTCTTTTTTATATTTTTAACTTAATAATGCTCTTTTTCAAAAATGAACATATCAATATAATTTTTTTTTTTATATAGATGCTTGATGTCATTACCTGTCATTTAGAATATTTTTTTTGTAAATCTGACACTTAACTTGCCCAAGCAAACACAGCGGTTGATTATTTATAATTGTTTAAATAATATGTTCATACAATTTTTTTTATACACCTAATGCTTAAAATTTGTATTTACTACAGATTTCCTATGGACAATCTTATTATTTTTTACACCATTAGATTTGATTTAATATAAATATTTATTTTATTCTATTAATTTTAAACGTTCTATGAATCAGGATTAGTATATATTGAAAAGAAATATTTACATGATTATAAGAAACGATAACGTTATGGGGTTGTAAATCGTTTAGAGCTACTGGTTTTTAAGTAATGCAATATACTGTGTAAAACATGGATATATTTCTAAGTAGGTTAAAAATACCTATATGACATGATTTATCATACTCTTATTAAATGTTTGATTATTAGCAGTTTAAGACAATTTTTTACAAATAATTATTTTGAAGTTGTTATAAACATTATTATAAGAACGTCGTTTGTCAGTTATAATCTGATTTGCATCAGTCACATGGTTACATATATATATCAAATAGAAAATACGCATTAAGTTGAAAATTTGTTTTTTTCTCAATTAAAAATTACTGTGTTGAAAATTAATAAGTATTGTTTAAATTAATTGATTACATGCTAATATATGTATTTATTTCGCAATTAATGAAATAATTTATTATGAAATTTTTAGATCATTCGTATATGCTTACATACTTGTTGTTATAATTTTTATTATGGTGCCTTTCTTAAAATTTGTGTTAGTTATATGTATCTACTGTCCTCATGTCATTTAATGTGAAACACCAAATAACCATGTAGAAACACAAAAAAGTATTTTGGATGAAAGGGATAAAAGGATGTAAAAGGTGAGAGTGGTATATATAATGGATAAAAAAAAAACCGGTATCACAGTTTCGTCGTAGCATAGTTGGGACAAGTATAGATGATAACTGACAGTGATTAAAATCGTTATAGTAAGAAACGTTTCAATGCAAATCTGTAGATAGTGTTTAATTTTAAGAAAGTTGTGAATGACTTCAAAAACAAAATTAAATAATTTTTTGAGATAATTTAATTATTAAATATAGATTAATAATAATAATATTATTAATCTATATTAATATTAATAAGAGGGGTTATTGTATTCAAACCTGCAGTTAATAATAATATATATTTATTTGTTTTTATATTCCGAACGAATGGCTTAATTAAATTGCCACTCAGACGACAACAGTTAAATTTTAACTCAAAGATTTCATAGATAATTTTAGTGTGTATTATATAGATTTGCAACTGATTATTGATTTAATCAAACTATGAACATACTAAAAATCATATTAATTGATTACAATTTATATTTATTGGTATTTTTATTGATTACTTATATTTATATCACATAGTGTTTTATTTGTAATTTATATTGTGTTATTTATTATTTTTATTGAATGAATAATACAATTTTATTTAAACTAACGACCTCAGTTTTTCTTTATTATATATCAAAATTAATTCAGATATCCAGCATANGTAAGCTAACGACAAGAGTCTGTCTGTAAAAACTTTTTTTAAAAGCGGTTTGTGGATTATACAAACAAATAATTATAGGATCTTATGTGCTTTTGCATATGGTTGAGACGTAAAAAAAAAATGAATGAATAAATTAATTTAATTTATTGAGACCTAAATCTTCATAATAAACTTTTATAACATTTTTAGAAAATACAATTAGTTCGTTACAAGCAGATGAAAAATTGACGGTATTTATTGACTCGGGTATGTCAATGTTTAACGATAAATTTCGTAATGGACAATGTTTTTCATGCGTTTTATTTAATGGATGACTTTTCGATTTGTAATATTTTAGAAATTCTGAGAATTTTTTAACGCATGTTGATGCGTCAAATTGCATTACTTTCAGGTTACTGTTATCACTTTTGGTAGCCAAAACAGCCATTGAACAATTTCCAGATTTTATTTCTTCAAGTAAGTTTGTTATTAAAGTACACAAAGATATTAAATTAGAATTGACGTTGTCATGATAATATTTTCCTCTAAAATTATGTAATGAAACCAATGTTTTATATATTATATCAAACATATTAGTTGTCTCATTTACTGCATCAAAAATTTGTCGCACAAAATTTATATATGCTACATCATTACTTTTTACATAAACCGATTCACAAAAATTTAATAAGGAAATTACATACTTGCAATACTTAAACAATATTTCTGTATAAATACACTTGATCAACCTTAATACATGTTGAATTTTACAATGAAAATTAATTCTGTCTGCTGGGTGTCTAAGAATACGGTCTACGCTTACAACTTGATCATTAAATATAATATTAATATGTTTCAACGACTTCCATCCACTTCCTTTAGTAATTGTGTTTAATTGTTGGATTACTTGTTTATGACAAATATTTTTATATGAATAAATTGTAGGTTTGAAAATACTAAAAAATATATACACTGAGATTTATTAAGTATACTTCTCATAGTTTTATCGTAAATAATGTTTTCATAGAACTTTAAATAATTATTATGAATCATTGTATATATCAAGTTTATTGTAAGAAAAAGTAATTCTTAAGGGGTAACTTTTGAGAATTCAATAGGAACTTGTTATTACTTTGTTTATTAGTTAATGTAGAATGTATTAAATAAAAGTTTGACTGGTTCATATCCATGTCGATAAAATTATTTTCTGGTATAATAATTAATTCTTATTGGGTTAAGGGACTAAGACTTTCATCTAGCATATAAACATTATAACGAGAAATTTTTTTTTTGTTAGTTGATTATAATGTTATTATCGGACTTGTAAACTTTTTCATTAATAGAATATTTAATGATATAAACAGTAATTTATAAATGTTTACTATTAATCTACAATAATATCAAATAAATTTTCTTACCTTGCCTCATTTAATTCTAAAACTTCTTCAAAACCAAGATTTTTGTATAAATTTGTAGAAATTTCAACGTAATACATGTTAAGCCATTCACATAAATAATAGCTCAACTCAATGTTTCTATTTTGTCGTGCATTATAGTCTTTTAGATTATCTTCAAGTAAGCACTTTTGTTTATGATTGTATACAATTAAACTATTTTTCTCTTTAATTTTTTGGTAGGACTGGTTACCTTTTCGTTGGATAAAACTGTTCACATCTAAAATAACCTCATAAGCTTCTCTCTTTGTGTTTGGATCGTTTGGATTGATAAAAATCTGTGTATTTTTTTTACTTTTTAATGTTGCATATTCTACAAAAGTATAAATTTCATCTACAATAGGTACTGAAAATGTTTTTTTAAAATTCGCTAATAATTTAAAATCTATGTTGCTAAGATAGTTCATTACATTGTATAACTGTTCAAACATAGTTTTCGAATTTTCCACAACACTTTGAAGTAAAACTATACAACTTAATAAATCATCTCCCAGATTGAAGTCATAATATTCTTGACATCGTTTAGCTATAGCGCTAATATGATCAATAAATGTGTGAATGACATCTGTATACGTGTAATTTAAAATATGAATTATAGCATCGAACTTTTTTGATAGTATTGTACTACTCCCTTTGCAAATAACGTCCTTAATATTAGTGCTTATTTCTGTAGAAATTTCGTTTTTAATTTCCAAATGTTGCAAAGAATCCCATCCAACTTGTTCACTTAAATGATCCATTACTTCTGTCAAATATTTTTCATATGATTTTGGTCTTATTTTGCAACTCACAAAGCATTTTGTAGTTAGAATCCAAAAGGTATAAAATATAGAAAGAAATAACTTGGGTAACATTATTCAAAATTTAAATTACACAAATATTATAGTTAGTAAAATTTTTGTAGAATTATTAATTTTCTAGTTAGATATATATATTGTAGTACCTAAAATTTTCATATAAATTAATATTTTTAAGCAAACATAGCGGTTGATTATTTTTAATTGTTTAAATAATATGTTCAAACATATTAAGGATAATATGTTCGACTAGTTGCAATTTATGATATTGACGTATCGTTGAAAGATATCGTTTCGGTGAGAACTGAAAAAAGTGGACAGACATACAAAAAAAACATACATAGTATAATTAATATTAATACATATATTAATCAATTAAGAAATCAATTAAACATGGAAACTAAAATATTATGAAATATTAAATAGTAATATAAAAAATGTATAAGGCCGATATGGATATCGAACCTAAAAAACATTAATGAATAAATTGATTTAATTTAGTTAAACCTAATTCTTCATAGTAAACTTTTATAACATTTTTAGAAAATACAATTAGTTCGTTACAAGCAGATGAAAAATTGTCGGTATTTATTGATAAAGGTATGTCAATGTTTAACAATAAATTTCGTAATGGACATTGTTTTTCGTGCATTCTATTTAATGGATGACTTTTCGATTTGTTAAATTTTAGAAATTTTGAGAAAGTATGTAAGTAGTTTCTTGCGTTAATTAGGGTTAATTTCTGTTTACTGTTATCACTTTTGCTATCCAAAACATCCAGGATATAATTTCCTGACTTTATTTCCCCAAGTAAATTGGTTATTGAAGTGCACAAACATTTTAAATTCGAATTGTAGTTGTCATGCAAATATTCTCCTATTAGTTTATTTAAAGTAACCAATGTTTTATACATTACTTCAAACATTTTCATTGACTTATAAACTGCATCAAAAATTTGTCGCACAAAATTTATATATATTAAATCATTAGTTTTTACAATTCCGGATTCACAAAAATTTAATATAAAATTTACATATTCATAATACTTAATCATTATTTCTGTATAAATGCACTTGATCAATCTTAATAAATGTTGTTTTTTGCAATGAAAATTTAGTTTGTCTGCTGGGTGTCTAAGAATACGGTCTACGCTTATAACTTGGTCATTAAATACAATATTAATATGTTTCAATGATTTCCATCCACTTTCATTAGTAATTGCATTTAATTGTTCGATTTTATCCTTTTGACTAATATTATTATATTTATGAACTGGATGTTTGATACTACTAAAAAATATATGCATTTGTGATTTATTAAATATACTTCCAATAATGTTTTCATAATAATTATTCCTAAGAGTACATTTTAGAGGTAATTTTTGAAAATAAAATAAAATGTTGACTATTTTCAACCAGTTTGATAATATTATTTTTTGAGTTAATATAATTTTTAATTACATGTGAGAAGAGTGCCTAACATAAAATTCTCATTTGGTTAGGGGTATAGATTTTCATATAGCGTATAAACATTACTAAGAATATTTTTTTTGTTTTTCAAAAATTAATAAAGGAAATTTGTAAAATTAATATCACGGGTAAAGCGAATAATGTTAATATCGGTTGAGTAAACTTTTTCATTAATAGTATATTTAGTGATACAAATAGATAAATATGTTTTCTAAAATTACGGATAAAATTATACATTGAATACATAATAGTAATTATACAGTTGACAGCGTTAAATTCTATAATTGTTGGGAAACTCATATAACATGATTTTTCATCATGTTAGTGTGCCAAATAACATTAAAAAGTTACTTATTACTAGATTGCGTTCTTTATATATATAAATATATTTTTTTTTTGATTATTAAAAAAAGTAAAAGAAACAGAATAAATTTGACATTTATGTNTTTTTTGATTATTAAAAAAAGTAAAAGAAACAGAATAAATTTGACATTTATGTACGGTAATTTATAAATTTTCACTATTACTCTACAAAGTTTTGAAATAGATTTTCTTACCTTTTCTCATTTAAATCTAAAACTTGTTCAAAACCAAGATTTTTGTAGAAATTTGTAGAAATTTCATCATAATACATGTTAAGCCATTCACTTAAATAATAGCTCAACTCAATGTTTTTATTTTGTCGTGCATTATAGTCTTTTAGATTCTCTTCAAGTAAGCACTTTGGTTTATGATTGTAAATAATTAAACTATTATTCTGTTTAATTTTTTGGTAGGACTCGTGACCTTTCCCTTCCATAAAACTGTTCACATCTAAAATAACCTTATAAGCATCTTCTTTTGTCTTGGGATCGTTTAGGTCGATAAAAATCTGAGTATTTTGTTGAATTTTTAGTGTTGCAAATTCTACAAATGTATAAATTTCATCTATAATAGGTATTGAGAAAGTTTGTTTTCCACTCACTAATAGTTTAAAATCGATGTTGCTAAGATAGTTCATTACATTGTATAACTGTTCAAACATGGTTTTCGAATTTTCCACAACACTTTGAAGTAAAACTGTACAACTTAATAAATTATCTCCCTGGTTTAAGTCGTAATATTCTTGACACTGGTNTAAAAAATTATCTCCCTGGTTGAAGTCATAATATTCTTGACATCGTTTAGCTATAGCGCTAATATGATCAATAAATGTGTGAATGACATCTGTATACGTGTAATTTAAAATATGAATTATAGCTTCGAACTTTTTTGGTAGTACTATACGACTCCCTTTGCAAATAACGTCTTTAATATTAGTACTCATCTCTGTAGAAATGTCGTATTTAATTTCCAAATTCTCCATAGAATCCCATCCAACTTGTTCACTTATATGATCCATTACTCCTGACAAATATTTTTCATATGTTTTTGGCCTTATTTTACAATCTACAAAACATGTTTTAGTTAAAATCCACAAAGTATAACAAATAGAATAAAATAACTTTGGTAACATGATTCACAATTTAACATTAAAAAATATTATAATTTGTAAAATTTTAATAGAACTTATTTATTTTTATGTAAAATATAAATTGTAATACCTAACATATTTGGATAATTTTAATATTAATATTTTAAGCAAATGCAGCAGTTGATTATTTTTAGTCGTTTCATTGTTTATATATTATGTTGGAATAATTTTTTTATACTAGTGTTATTTATAAATATTTGCGGAGTGTTATACAGATTAGGAAAGTAGTTATCAAGAATGAAATTTTGCGGAATAGTATGCAATGGAACGCTAAGCAAGGCTGACCTTGCATAGTGTAAAATTTACCATTGTGAAAAATATGTTAAGATATATAATGACATTTTTTTTGTTGAGCTATGAAAATATAAATTTTTTTTTATTTATTATAATGATTACATTGTAAATTGTTAATGATTCTAATAATCATTTGTTAAGTTATTGTATTTTAACCAGTAGATAATAATTTTTTTTGTTTTGTTACTCTTTATAGTAAACTTTTAATATTTTTTTAGAAAATACAATTAGTTCCTTTCATATAGATGAAAAATTGAAAACTTATTTTTAAAATCTGTCATTTTTTGGGTCTTATTGAGAAGTGGTGCTGGTTTATAATATCATAGGGTGTACATACAGATAGCAATTTTAATATATAATTTTATAAAAACATTTTTATAACATAATATGTTGTAATAACGTCATAACATTATTAAAAAAATGTTATTAGGCATTTTATCATATTTTTATAAACCGGTAATGATCATCAATATACAACATGACAATGTTGCCGTTTTTTAAAAATAAGTACGCTTTTTTTCAGATCATCTTAAACGTTAAATGATTGAAAATTGAATAGTAGACAGTTAAACATTTATTCAGCAAAATAACTTTGAAAACAAATTAATTGAGAAATATGGAATTTCTCGACTAATTTTCAAGGTGTTTAGTAAATCACTTTTTAAATATTTTACAATGTGTTTTATTGGTATTAAATATTCAATACTAATGGTAGACCAAGGAAACTTATAAATATATCTACTCCCTATTACACTTGAAAATATCCACATATTCTTTTACAACGCACAAGAATCAAAACTTCAATACCAGAAAATTAATTGTTTAATAATTGTGAATAAATATAGGAATTAAAAATTAATAATCTTTCATTCAACATTTATTATTTAAATTTTTTTATATACTTTTATGTTTTTAAAATATATAAAATACGAATATGAATATATTCTTCAGGATAACGCTGTGATACTATCGGTTTATGTTGCAGATGTTTTTAGTGCTAGTAGACTGTTCAAATAGATTTTAAGAAAAAACACATAATACATTAAATGATAATATAAATAATGGACTCTATTTTAATCTATTCTTATTTAAAGTATTTTTATTCAATCCAACATATTTTCTTACATCTTAAGAAATAAAATCCTAATACACCCTCAGAATGTTGACTCAACGAAGACTCGTACAAAACAATTTAACCATTTAAAATATCTAACAATTTTTTAATTTGTTATTAAAATCAATTATAAATATCATTGAAATAAGACAATTTCATTGGATTTGTTTTTTTTTTCATCTCAGAAATTTGTCATCAAAGTATAACAATATATATATATTACTTAAAAAGTAAATATAATGTTCAAATAATTTGTCTATATTTGTAATACTCTTCTATTAATTATTATGTTTTTAATTTTTCGGGGAAATTATTGCTTAACGTTATTATTTCTCCATGCTTCGCATCATAGAATGATGACAAATTTTAATATTATTATATATGTTTAAAAATCAGATAATAATTTGTTATGAATGGAGATTCCGTTTGAAGAATCGGTCTTGACTCGTGACTATCAATAACACGTGTTTGGTATCTATGTAGTTGTGTCTCGATTACTGATTGACTGATTATAATGTATGCCTTGGGGATCAATTAGTTCACCATTTACCATTCATGAATAAATCGCAGTAATAGTTTTGAATGGCAGACCAAGGGAGACGTATAAAACAATAATCCCAGAATAATCGAAACGTATATCGTAATTACTTAAACGCCACACACACAATGGGACAACGAATTTGATTTTAGTTTTACCTATGCGCCATTGTTTTTTAAATCTCTCTGATGACTGTTATTCGGTCCAAGACCACCACGATTTCATGCGTTTAATAATATAAGACAATATACTGCGATGGATTTTTTCCACTCTTATAAAAAAAAAAAGTTATTAATTTCTCAGACTAATATCCCACATGCCCGCTAGTCATAAACTACGCATCGTGTGTCTTCTAATTATTATTCATTTATTAATACAATTTATATATTGTCTTTTGTCTAAGCCGATTAGTGGATAAATATGCAATAGAGATTCTACATGAGACCGAGAAGAATTAATGACACCGTCGTGAACATTGTTGATCTAAACCCGTAATATTACTATATAAATAATATCTTACCACTTTTAAATCAATTTTGTAGGTAAACTATGTTATTAACTCAGATCCTTTAACGTCTATTATTATTAACATAATAGAGCTGTAACGTTTAAATTGTAGGTACTATACTAAATTCAGCGATATTATAATTCATTTTGAAAAATTGTAGATGACTCAATTATAAATTTCAATTAAACATTATTTTTTTTTTTATTGTTGTTTAATGTATGCGTCTATTTTATAGTTAGTGGAGTTTGCGTGTAGTGTTCACGTATTTAATTATTTTACTTTAATACTTTATTTTCAAATTTATTATTAAATAGTTACTGTGGCAGAGATTGTTTTAGCCTGAAACAGAGGTGATAGTTTAGTTCAAAAAGTGAATTTTTGTTTATAGTTGTGTCGGGTACACGTACAGTTTCTTATTATATTAAGACATTAAACGGCGGGGAGGCAAGTTCCGCGTTGAATTATTTGACCATCGATTAAAGATTTTTATTTTAGTAGGACATAAAATGCAAGTTTCACCATTACCAGTAAATAAGTACCATCGAGATGTCAAGTAATTTGCTCGACACTAAAAATGTCCAGTAGCTCAATAAAAACTGAGCAAATACACGCAACGGACACTTTATTGGGTAAAACACTATGTACATTATTTGTTTTTTAATAAACATATATTCTTTACAACAATTATTTGTTTTTCGACAAAAGACTCACATTTGTAATTAGAAACGTTGCACATGTATAAATCCTTTTATTTTATGTATGTCTAGACTAGTATTTTAATACATATAAAAGTCAAATGAAGTCTCAAAGTAAAATTACCAGAATACATGATCTTTATGATGTTTTTGTACATGCAAGTCCTTTTAGCTTCGATGCGAAGCTGAGAAGGTATTAATTTTACTATGATGTGTTTTTTTTTTTATTTTTTTATTTTTTTTTTA